CATAAATGTTCTAAGTAAGGTACTCACAACACACAGTAGATGATCTCCAGTGAATCGACAGTCCTTCCTGACAACACTTGTATGCATACGCTGCTATACTAGTGCACAAACATTCACAATCCCCGCCAAGATTACAGTTACATGTATCTTCATGGCAATTTTTGGCAAAAGAAGTCACATCAATCTGAAAAGGAAGTGAAAGATGATTTAATTTCAATAAGTACTGACCATGATTAAAAGTCAACCCCTGTAAAAGAAAACAAACTGGTGTGTTTTCAAAATTTGATATTATCAGCTTAACATTGCCACCTAGAGAGTTGTCATTATCTCAAAACTCGTTATTGCCGCAAGGAGAAAGAAATTTTATTAAGCAAATGCCATAGCAAAGAGCTAGCAAAACAAATAATATGATTAATGAATAAATATAATTTCAATATGTGAAATACAACAGATTAATAATTTTGTAAGTTCATTGTTTCATTATAGGCATATTCACACGGCATTAAAAGAAGACCATGTTCTACTTCCAATTGTGCTTTTACATGATTTTCTTTCTTTCTTTTCCCCACCTCCACTTAGGCAACATTCTAGTGACTGCGAATGGCAATAGCAAGCTTTGAAAAAATTTCTCACCATTTACTTAATTAATTAATTTTATTTGCACTGTATTTAAGTAGCTGACAAAATTTAATATATTGACAGTGTGTTATAAAAGAAGCAGGGTTTGGGTCACTAATTTGTATTTTATTTTGTAGGTCAGTTCATGGATTAGTTTTTCCTTTCATGTGGCAGCCAGGAGAAGAACCAGCAGGGTCTGTGGTTTAGGACTCTAGATGACAGATTTCTTGCCAGGCAGGTTGCAATGATTTTGTTTTGTGTTGGTTTGAGTTGAAATATATGGAGAAAATCCAGTCCCACACACATGCAGTTGGAAAGACAGAAGAGTTTTAATATCCCTTTCAGGTAATTGTGATATTCTTTGATAGTACATCAAAACTCCAAAAATGTTTACTAAAGGTTAGTCGCATGTGAAAATTTGAAACCATGTCAATGAATTTTATACTTTCATATATTAAAATCCTTTGTTTTATCTTGCCCTTCGGATGGATCTTTTATTCCTGCATAATTTTGTAACATCGTGCATTGGTCAATTAGAAAATTCACCCACTTATGCAGCTCTTCCAAATGTTGACACATTCGATTATATGCAATAGCAGCAAGTCATATTCATTAATATCACCATCTAGATCATCAGAAGAGTCATTAAATATTGCAGAACTTATAAGCTCACAGGGGTGGATCTAAGTTTTACAAAATTCTAATTTTCACTTAAAAGTTCAAATTTTATCAAATACTAACAAATAAGTATCAGGTGTTTTCCTTGAAGCCACAGATGCATTTCACTCATTTTCAAGAAAATATCTCTCAAATACCCTTGTCTGAATAACCATATTTGTCTACCATTTGTTCTTACAAGTAAAATGGTGTTCCAAGAAAAAAGCAGCCAACTCAGCTCA